GCCAGTCTGAGTGCTTTAGACAAATGGTCTGTGCTGTATGAATACCTAGATTGATCACTTTTTCCATAGATGTAGTCTAAGGGTCATCAAACTTGGTGTGCCAAAACAGGAGTAAGGCATTTTGTGTACTTTTCCCCTCAATCTCTCTAGTCCTCAGTTCTGTTAGGCAGCAGCCTGCAGCACTCATTGGGAGTGAAGCTGCTGAGCAGTGGATGCTCCTCTGTATTGATCTGTCGTGGACTCCTCTAGACTTGTGCATTAGTAGAATTCCACTTTCTCACATTCATGTCACTTGTGTCCCTTGCTTCCTCTTTCCCCTGAAGCCTTGCTAAAGCATGTTACCCTGGTACTGCAATGCTTTTGCCATTTCTTGTTACCCCTGTCACAAAGGGCTGTGCTGTTCTGTTTGTGCTTATAATGTACCCAGATGGTGAATAGAATGAGTGACCACCAAGCTCATTTTCACTTGAGGGGTCAGACCTTTCTCTGCTAAATAACACAAGTGTTCCCAGCTGCTGTGCAGCTGCAGGGAGTCTGCTTTCCTTCACAGGCATTAAAAAGCCTTTAATCAGTGTTTGTTGTTTGTCAGCAGTGGTGTTGAGGTGTGGAGAAAAAGAACAGATATGCTTTGTTGGCAAAGTTAACTTCATTTTGACCTCTTATCTTTCCTTTTTCTTTTCAAGTCTGAAGAAGCAGAAAGTAGTTTGGGAAGTGGTTTCTTCAAGCACCTGTGTAAATGTATTTGTTAAAGGAGGAGTTTTATGTCCTTATACATATACAGAATTAGACAGAAAAAGATGCTCTGAATGCTGCATTGAACTGGAAGCTATTTAGGACAGGGACTCTGACTGGTGTAGGATCTGTGCAGGCTTCCTCAATGTAACCAAATGCTATGAAAATGCAAATGTTGTTTAGTACCTGTGTATTCCTTATTCTAGTATCAAGTCTACCTTTAAGGTTTAAACACTTGCAATCTGGTCAATTTTAATATTTTCCTGGAAAATAGATTGTCTGGTAGCTTTTACATGATTTTTGTGGGTTTGTAGTAATTTTTATTTATTTATTTTTAGACTGATAAGCCAGTGATACCATCCACAGTCCCATTTGTTTTGGATGCTGAAGCAAATGGGAGCACTGATATCAAGAGGCTTTGGGAAATCTCAAATCATTACTTCCCTCTTTCTCCTAGATGAAGTTTGGAAACCTGCTGGTGCTGCACATGTTTTTGCAGGGTTACTTTTTATCTGAGTCCAGATCTGTTCATTTGTGTCTCTCCGTAAAGCACCAAGCATAACTCAGAGTTTTGATTCCCTTGTCTGCAAAGCCTGTTTTATGTGGGCATCCTGAAGCTGTGAGGATAACAAACTTTGGTTGGAGCTCCAAGTGTCATGATGAGACATTTGGTGTTAAAGGTAGAAGAGGTTATCTTCATAGGCTTCCCCTGGTTTGAAGTGACCAGAAAATTGTGGTTCTACCTCAGCTGTGTCTGGGAAGGGTGGGTAGCCAGGCGTGAGGCCATCTTCTGCATCTTGCTCCCATCCTCTGCCTGGCTCAGTAGGATCTCTTGCAGTGACCAAGGTGTTCTTCTGGAGCAGGGCTGTGCTCCTTGGAAAAACAGAGCCTGCTTGCTCCATGTTGGAATAAAGAACATAAAGTGAGCAACTTATGAATTGTAGTCCTAGCTCTTAAAATAATAGATTCAAAACACTAGAAAGAAAACTTCTTGCACTGGGTGGCAGGGGATGGACACTCAAACCAACTAGTGTATGAAATGTCTCAGGATGGTCTGTGTTGATGGTCACTTCTGCAGCAGGAACACTTACCAGTTAGAAATGGGACAAAGAGTCACCATTTAACTGTCTGGAAAGCTAGCAGGGCTGCTAAGCAAGGCCAAGGGCTCTGAGCTACGGTGGTGCAGGTGTCCTACAGCAAGGAGCAGTTTCTGAAGCTCTTCAGTAGTATCTCCAGGAGATTCAGCCTTTCTGGCAGTACTGTCTGATCACATGAGAAAAACCCTGATCAGACAAGCATGATTGTGGATCTTTCTGGAAATGAATGCAGACTTTTACAATTATAATCTAGCTGAACGAAACAAGCACCATCTTGTGCAACTACATAAACCATAAACTTTTTTGGCAAGGCAGGTGTGGAATTTTCAGTGTCTGGAAAGCACCTAGCATGCTGTGTGGGCTCCCTACTGCAATCCAAATTGCAAATGCTAAAAAGTCTTTGATTTTTTTTTATAACATGGTTCTTGGCTTAATTTGGGTAGGCAAGAACTTCATAGACAGCATTGGGGTGCTCTGCATGTTTCCTCAGGCCCTCATAATTAATCAATGCAGAGCTGTTTCTCCCCATCCCTCTGCAAGCAGACATCGGAGGAAAGCTGTACCACAGACATAAATTTAGCTCATTTGTCAGCCCTGAGAAGTGCTTTCTGTTTTTCAGAGATGCCCTTTCTGGAAGGAGGGGTGTTCCTGGCCTGTAAGACCATTCTAAAAGTATTTTAGTACAGGCTGCAGAACACTTAGGTGAGTTTTCATTATACAAGCTGTTTTTTCAAGAAGTTTGTAACATGATTTGATGCTGGGAACCAGCATTCTAGCTCTTCTGGTGCACCTCTGCCTCTGACACAAAGCATTTGCAAAAAGTTTCATGCCAATAGCTCAAGTCCTCAAAGTTGTGATAAATGGCAGATGCATGTTCCTCTGAAACCAGAAAGGCTTGTGTTTCACGGAGTATTTAATTGTTCTGTGTGCACCTTACATGCTGTACTAGCAGACATCTGTTTTTAAAGTCAGTTTATACAGACAGCTGAAAAGCCTTGCAAGTCTTTCAGGGTCTCTGACACCACACACTGGGAGGAAGATTCAGCATCTTCAGTCTGCTGATTTTTGCTGTATGTTTACAGTCACTGGAGATCTTTGCACCTTGGAGGCTACAGCAAAAGCCAGAGCAATTCCAACCTAACTTTTGATAGTCCAACCCCTGCCATGAACTGGGCAAAAAATCTGGTCCAGCTTTATGGTGTTTTCATAATTAGTCCAGGTCTCTATAAGCAATTTAAAAGTGCCTTCAGGTTTAAATTTTCCAGTTTGCCATTTGGAACAGGTGTTGCCAGGTTAGAGAAAGTGTTGCAGAAAAGGAACAAAAACACTTTAAAAACTCTGTGCTGTTACAAATTTTGGCAAGAGTCTGACAGATGAGATTTTAAAAAAAGTTTGCCCCACCCAAATTCAAACAAGTGCAGATCTTGCTTACTTTTCCTAGCTGTTATGTTTAAATAGGGTTTACAGTAATCCATGAGTCTTCAAAAGATCCAGCAGTACAGAGCTAATATGTTTTTATATGAAAATACACAACTTCTCAATTGTTTTCCATCTCATTTAATTGGGGAGAGAAAGGAGGTGAAGAATTTTTTTAAAATGTCAAAAAACAAATTTCAGAGACACATGTTCTTGGAGTGGTTAAAAACAAACCCAAACTGGGCTTCAGGCAATGTTTTTTCAGCAGCTTTAACCTCAAAGCATAGAGCAGACAGCTTTGTAGGCAACTGTAACACCAAGGTGATTATGGCAGTGACTCAGGCTTCCCTGTAAGGCATCCAGCTATCAACACACTTGGAGAGCTGTGGCTTTGTGCATGCAGACAGGGTGTCAGTCAGTGTCCACTTGCCAGCCAGGTCTGAACTGCTGAGCTAGTAGCTGCTTTGATAGTGAGCAGAGACACTGGTGCACTAGAAATCAACTCTAGTCCTCCCCTGGCTTGTGAGAGATGGGAGCTTGGGAAGGGAAAGTGCAACTCCTCTTTTTCTTTGCTTCATCCTCATGGGACTTGTTTCAAGAGTCCTCTGAAAGCTTCTTATGAGCAGGTGGTTGGGTTTGGGTAGTAGTTAAAGGTTGGACTGACTGAAAAGGATTGCTACTGTCATGTCTTGGTGAAACTCTTCCTGTGGTTATGGAAAGAGGACTGGGAGTTGAAGTCTTCAGTAAGACAGTATGAACTTGGGAGACCTGAGTATCCCTCTAGGCAGCTCCAGAGTACAGTTGAGGGCACAACAGTAAACTACTACTAGGTATTGGGATTTGCAGGGAACAAGTGGACAAAAAATGGGGAGTCACTGGTGCATGTTGAGTTTTCCTGTCTCCAGAAGATAAGGCAGAAGCCAAAGTGTGTCTTAGAAGGGAAACAGCAGTGATTAATATGGTATGAGGGAAGTCTTTGGGGCAAGGAATTGGGAAACTGGGTTTGCTTGCATTGAGAGAGTGACAAGAAAGGAGTACTGTGTTTATATAAAACACACTGCATCTGAACTGAAATCTTGAGAAGAAGAGGTTTTCACAAAGATGGCAAACTTCTGAAAGGAAGTAGCTTTTCATATAGTGTGCAGTTAGGTTGTGGTACATGTGGGATATATTGAATGTGATTTCTAGCTGGGCAGGAAGTCATCAGGAAGGAGCAAAATGTGTTCCTTTGGGACTGTGCATGTATGCTGTTGCAGGTGGTATCCACAGCTGACATAAGTAATGCTTTAAAAAACAAGTACCTGGTGCTGTATAGCTGGCCACAGCCATGGTTCAAGTAACAAGGCCAATCCTGATTGGTTATTTGGGTTCTTCCATCCTTGGTGAGAAGCTTCTTGCACCTCTGCCTAAAATTCTGTAGTGCCAGATGCTGTTTGTGGCAAGCTGGGCTCTTATGAGTCAGTGTTGCCCTTCCTGTGTAGGTTGTTTGGTTTTGCACATCTTACATTTTCAGAGGTGAGACAGTAATATTTGCATTTCATTAAAGAAAATGGAACGGCAAAGACTTGTTTTTTTAAAGGTGCATATATTTCATTTTAAGCTGCCTTCAGGTAAAGCCAGCTTTGGTAGGCAACTTAGACTGCATCATAGACCATATCGCTATTTTCATAAAACCAAAACACACTATGCTCTGCTTTGGGAAACAAAACAAAACCAATTTTTTTCCCCCCTCCCTCCTTTTTTCACTTCCTTCAGTTTTTAATAAGCGACCGTGACAGAGACCCTCAGTGTAACCTGCATTGCTCCAGGTCCCAGTCCAAGCCCCTCTGTGGCTCTGACGGCAGAACGTACGAGTCGATGTGTGACTACCAGAGAGCCAAGTGCCGGGAGTCAAGTCTGAGCGTGACACACCGCGGCCGCTGCAAAGGTAGGTGGATTTCAAGTGCCTTTGAGGGGAGGAAGGGGAGTCCTGCCTTCTAAGAAACTAGATTCTTAGACCCTTGAATTTAATACTGCGCTCTGTGAGTGATCCAATTGAAGTTGTGCATTCTTGTGAATGCACGGGTATCTGAGTTCTGGGTTTAGGTGGCAGGAGTAAGAACAAACCCAGAATATCAGTGAAAGAAGGCAAAGGAGCTAGAAACATCACTGAAAAAAGGCCAAAATAGGTATCTGCAGAGCAGCATGGGCAGCCTCTGTGGAAATGCAAAATCAAATCCTGAAAGGAGAGAACTTCCTTGCTACCTGTGCCAGTGAGGAACTATGATACATTTGAGTGACAGGAACATGGAGTGGGGAAGAGCATGCAGTGCACATTAGGTGCCTAGTCCTTTTTTCAGACATATACAGCCTTTTTGAGCTGAGCTGATTAAGACAGAATGAATGTGAGGCTTTACATGCCTGCTTTGCCTGTTTGCTGATACACATCTACTTAAAAGTGAGAATTTTGTTTCTCAATTCAGCTCTTTAGCATAGGCTAAAGATGAAGCTGAGACTTTTTAAAGGAATATTGGTATATTGTCACACAAATGGTTTACTTCTGCAGTGAAGTGAAAAATCAAGCTGAGTGCAATTTCTGAGGGTGCAATTGACTCCAAGGGCAGATGGCACAGATGTTTTTAGCAATTGGCTAAAGGGACAGGGGAAACTAATTAAAATCCCTGTGGAAGGATAAATAGGCATACATTTAAGACTGACTTGTTCATGAAGGCTTTTTTTAGTATCAAGAAAATGCATCTTTGTCAGAATTACTTTTTCTAACTTGGAAATCCCTTTTCGATGTATTGACAAGCTTTATAGTTTAGGTGAATCATGAGCTTTGCTCTCAAAACAGTTTCTCTTGGGGGGAAAAAAGCTTTCTTGTATGTTTTGTCTTTCTCTCCCCACTGCTTGGCTGCTGTATGGCAGCTTCTGTCTGTTTCATAAAAAAGGCCTTTGGATTGTACTGCTTTCTGAGTGCTGGGAGCCCACAAACTTTCTTCCCAGGTCCCAGGAAGCAATTAGATTGTTCTTGCAAGTCCTGTGTTTTTGTGTACCACAGTAAGAAGCAGTAGGGTGAGAGTCCTGCTTCTGCTTTCATCACTTGAGCAGAGTGGCTTAGATAAGTGACTCCACTGCTGATAGTAGCATAAACTGGCACCGTTCATTCACTTAAAACACGGGATCCGTATGCAAAAGTGTCTATTTCTGGAGTGGAGAAAATGTTGTTTGCCAGACTACACAGCCTTCTCTGTATTGTGATTGCAGAGACCTGAAGAAGTAACTAAAGACTTTTTTTTTCTTAACCACAGTTCAATATACTTTCTGTTCTCTTGTGTTCTCCTTTCCTTTTCTCCCCTTACCCTGTGGTACCATACAGTACTTAATAAGCTGAGAGTGTTTGATTGCTGCTGCTCCTGAAAGGTATTTTGTTCTTCTAGTCACATTAGGAATATAACCTCTAGCTGTGCATGAAGATCACCCCTCTTGGCAAGTACAGTTGTGAGCCAGGTGTGCCTACCTGCAGGCAGTTGGCCATGTCTGTACCTTGAACTTGCACAAAGGAAGGTATCACCAGCAGTGTTTGAGCACCTTCTACTGCTGCAGTAAGGCAGCAGGTTAACCTCTAACAGCCTTCATTCCTTCTGCATGACAGATGCTTTGCAGGGGAACTCCTATAGAACTGTAAGAGATCCCATAGGCCATTGAGCCCAGTCACATGCAATAGTGATAGATGCTGTATCTAACAACTTACCTTTATGAAAAGAGTGGTTCTATGTTGTGCTTCTTTCTGTGAGGAGGGGAAAAATCCCAGGTAATTAAGGAAAGAAGTAGTATATTGTGGACAGCAAGGTATAGTTCTGACACCCAGATCACCATAGGTTTCTAATTTTGTGTTAACTTAAACTGTACTTGTTCCAAGACAAGTAGAATGGTTTCCATAGTAAGAACAGAATGTTTTTGATTCAGCTTAGCTCTCTGCACTCTCTCAAGAAGCTAAGGACCTTTAAAGAAGAAGCCTTTGGGAACAACTTTTTTCAGCTCTTGGTATTTACTAGCTTCCTCACATGCTTTTCAATGAAATTCCTTCAGCACAAAATCATCTGAACACCCTCCAAACCTTCACTTGTCACAAAGGGTTAAAAGTAAGCAGTAGCTTAAAATTATCAAACTACAGCATCCAAGACAAATAGAGCCTTATTGAGATTCCAGAGAATAGTTTCAGATGGCTTAGCTGTGCATGAAATGCACAGCCAAGCACTTCTACGTGAATCTTTTGTCAACAGGCATCTTGAGATCTGATGTCAAAGAGTTCTGCCTCAAAACTTTGTGGGGAAGCAGGACAAAAACTTGTTAAATTCTGAGTCTTGGTAAGCTGTCAAGGTTATGCAGTGGTTATGAGGTATACTGGATATCTGTACCTTAAAACACTGAGGTTCTGTGTTAAGTGGTTGGTTTCTGGGAACTTGTTTGACCTATTTAATAAAAAAAGGGTGGGAGTGTTCTAAAAAACTTCACTGTAGGTTTATAATGGTTGGGTTTGAAAGTCTACTTGATGAGCTTGATGAGGAGTCACTATGTACAATGAACCTATCTAAAATACTGGTGGGAATTGTAACAGGGGTCTTCAGCCCATCAGGGACACCTGGGTGAACACAACTTTTAGCTAATGTGCTAGAGAGGAGGGTCTCCTGGGTAGTGATGGATTGTTTGGAAAGAATCTCTCTTCTACCTGCTGTTCTCATTGTACAGGAGATGCTATTTTGAAATCACTCTTTTGTCCAGTTGCTAGATCCCTATTTTTTCTTGGATCTTTCTTATTCCTAGTTATGGGAGGAAAGAGAGGGTCCCTCCTTGA